TTTATTTGATCCTGCAGAGACACCAACATGATCTAGACACTTATCGTGACTGGCCAGCTGTGTGTTGGTTGGTTACATCCTTGTTAAGTAAGGACATGCGTAGCCCAGGATTGAGTTCAATTTTAACTGAACCAGTTGAGAACACGCCCATTCAGAGTTATATTCTGAAGCTAGATGCTGACCTGAAACGTCCAGATATAACAAAGGACAAGGCACGGCGGTGGTACGAGTTCCTGGGTATGCACGTGTTCTGTAAGGACATAGGGAATAGCGACCGTGAGAGCCTGTACATCGAGTTGCGACGTAAACACGCGACTGATGCTCGAGACAAGGGACATGAAACAAAATTTTATCTATCCCGACTTATGTGGGAACAGTTTTATGATACTCTATCCACCCTTTTCCCGGTACACCGAGTAACATCGGAAGGGAAAAGTGGCTGTTAATAAGTCGTGAAATTCAAAGTAAATAAACGAATGATTCTTTTGGTAAAGTTAGGTATGCCTCGTGAAAACAGCAATACTCTGAGGGATTGTAAGGCTGAGACATAGCCTATATATAATCCTCTCAGTACTGTTTCCGCCGAAGGGGTTTTATTTAGTGTTTCGTTGTCGCTCTATTAGAAACTATGGTATGTTTCATTGGGGCGAATCTGAGAGACTCATAAAATCCTATCTTTACAAAAATATATAAATAATAAATAAAAAAACTCTTGATGTCCTTAGTTATTGTTTTAACCAATAACTTGCCACTTATCAATAATTACCGACTTAGCCTTCATCAGACTGGCACATCTGGTTGGCTGAACGGAGGATAAACTAGGTAACGTTAATAGTCCTTAGAAACCTATATTCGGTTGAGCCATCTCGCTACCGAATTATTCAGATATAAATAGATTTGGAAAGTAAATATAGTTCTATTAATAGAACTAGACCAACTCTTATGTTTGGTACTTTACTGGGGCCTTTTAATTACCTTGTTCAAATATCTGATATGTAAAATGGAAAGGTGTTATTTAATAAAACCGTTAAACCCCATTTAGGAAACTTAAGTTCCTTGTACTATTAAGAGTACGTTTATAGTTTACGTACTGCTTAAGAGTACGTTTATAACATAGAGTCTAATGTGGAGGCCCGGCTATTACATTGCCCCCACCCAGCTTTGAGACCCAGGAGAAGCAAGTTGCTCACTCAAGCTGATTATGGGTCAAAAATCGAGAAAGGATAACGGGTCGAAAACATTAAGTAGTATAACGTATAGTTAATGTTTCTCTGGCGGAGAAGTTAAGCGTTTTCGGTTACCCTGTGAGATAGTATGTATAGCCTCTCTTATCCGTTCTCCATATAATGTCTTTAAATGCAGAACGATCAAGAGAGGCATTAGAGTCATGTCTTCTTGCGAGAATAATCTCGGTAGTCGGAATACGACTTGTGCCTATATTAAGTGCACTAGAACCATCGGGGTTATTTACCTCGTACGTTCCACTTTTAGTGTCTGATACAGAGATTATATATGGACCTTTGCATTTTAAAGTAGCATCGGAATTACGTTGACGGATATTAACTCTGTCACCGACCTGATACTCTGCTATCTTTTTGGTAGTGTTCCAACGCTTTTGCCTTTTTAATAAGGCTATATTGCGTATTTCTCGCAAGCAAAGATATACAACGTTATAAATACGTTGTACCTTCTCTAACCATGGTAACTCATGGTGATCAGGTTCGTCCTCGTTAAAGAGTATTTGTAACTCACTATATCTGCCACGAAAATAGTGAGCGGCTGTAGTTTCTGTAACCGGATCAGCACACTCGTTCATCTGTGTTTGTACCCACTTAAGGTGGTACGGCCAATCATCTGCATCATCTGTTAATGGTGGATTAGCCCACGCATTATGTTTGGAGAGGTCTATTTGAAAGGCGTCCCCCAAAGGATGATTTAAAGTCCTGTAATTCGATAGTTGTACATTATGATGTGCAGCAACCATATCTATGGTATGTGGCCCAAATATCTTTTGAGCCAGTTCAAACCATCTGGGATTGCATTTCCAATCAGTGGCTAGTAACTCACGTACGGATTTATTAAAGTCCGGTACGAAGCGTGATAACATATCCGGTAAATGGTTATGTATTCCAGGCAGATGTTTTATGTCAAAATGAAACTTTGATATTGTATCATGCCAGCGACTCAGTAATTGTTAGTCGGGTTTCATCTCTTTCATATATTGAAGAGATTGCTGATCACACATAAGCGTAAATGCTGTTCCGTACAAGTAATCTCGGAAGTGTGTTAGAGCTGCCACTATGGCTAATAGCTCTTGTTTAACAGTTGGATAATTCAGCTGTGAAGCATTCATCGCTCGACTAAAGAATTGTATATATCTAGGTTTGTTATCTATCACCTGATATAATACTCCTCCTAGGGCTAAGTCGGAGGTGTCCGTTGCTATTTCAAACGGCACGCCATCGACTGGTCCTTGTACAACAGGGGCTTGTTGGACTGCGTGCTTGAGCACTTTAAATGCGTCATCACACTCTTTAGTCCACAAGTCTCCTAGTTTGCCTTTATGACATCTTAAGTGTCCAAAGGGTTTAAGATAATCAGCCAAGTGTGGTACTCCATCTGAAAAAATGTTTACAAACCCACACATGCTTTTCACATCTCTTCCTGTAGTTGGTGTTCGCCAATCTAACAGGTGTTCCACCTTACCGGGATCGATTTTAATACCTTCCCCAGATATACGATAGCCTAAGAGCTGTATTTCGCTCATGGCGAAGTGACATTTCTTCTCGTTAATCTTGAAGTTTTTTTCGTTGAGTCTCTGAAGGACTCGCCTGACCAATGCGGCATGTTCGCCCTTAGTCTTAGAAAAGATGACTATGTCATCTATATAGACTTGCACGTTAGGCATGTCTGCAATCATTTCCTCCATTACTTGTTGGAAGAATGCTGGTAAGGAGTGCAACCCGAAAGGTGCACCTCTAAACCTGTATTATTTACCTTTCCAGGTAAAACTAAAGTACTTACGATGGGGTTCATATATCTGCATTTGATCGCATCCTTGTGTAAGGTCTATAGTTGTAAATACTGTAGCACCTTCCATCCTTCGCAGTAGCTTGGTAATACGAGGTAAGTGAAAGCTATGAGTCGGCAATAATTTATTTATCGGACTCATATCTAAACATACTCTGACTTTCTTGCACGATCCGTCAGAGTTATGTTGGTCTACAGATAGCAATGCCAAGTTAACTGGCGTCTGTTGATAGTTAATTTCTATCACTTTATCTGCTAACCGTTTCTCAACTTGTTCTTTTACCACAGCCTCGTGTCTCCAAGATACATAGTTCCTTGTGTGGATCACTTCAACTGTGTAAAGTCCACCTTGGTTAAGTCAAGGCTGACATATCCGTCGTTAAAACGGAATTTTGCCCAATCCGTGATCTTTATCTTCTTATTTACTAGAATTATATCCATGATTTTGTCCGCAAAGTCAGGTATTAATGCCTTGACTGTGTTTGACGGGGGCTTATATGGTTTCAGACAGTTATCGTCTGATTGATCCTTTAATGGATCTATGTTATTTGGTAAACCAGTTACGGTTATACCTAGAGTGAGTAAATCGCTCATTCCGACTATAATGTCGTACTTCTGTGACATGGGTAGTGATACTCCTATCATCGGCCAGGGAGATTTTAATATCTGTGAGTAGTTTGAGTTCGCCTTTCAATGTCTTTCATTAATGCAAAGCGGTCGGATATACATGAAATTTCTGAACCAGGATCAATCAACGCAAGGATTTTATTTCCATTGCAATATACAGGTATTATTACACGCTCGTCTAAAGAGTCGTTGTATTTTCTTTGTAACGATTGTACCTGGTAGTACTTCCACTCCAACTTAATGTTGGGCCTTTTCTCACAAGACTTGGCGTGATAGCCACTGGTCTTCTCACACTTGGCCCACTTAGTAAGAAAGTGTGTACAGGTGAATGCATGTCTGCCATTTCAATATCCGTTAGGGGTCAATTGGTACATGTTATACCCGCACTGTGCGTTGGCACATTTCTTAATCTCCTTAAATGGATGTTCCTTGTCCTTCTCCTCCGCGCGTGCCCGTTTATTGGGTAGCGTGGATTGAGTGGAGTCGCGAGCACGTGTCTGGTTAGGACGCGTCTGATGAGGTTTATCATCAGACGTCTGGCGTGAGAGGTATCCTTGATCGGTGAGCTCGCGCGGTTTCTTATTTACCGCCTTCCCTTTCGAGGTTACTAAGTGTGCGGGGAAAAGAGTGGATACAGTATCATAAAACTGTTCCCACGTAAGTCGGGATAGATAAAACTTTGTTTCATGTCCCTTGTCTCGAGCCTCAGTAGCGTATTTAAGTCGCAACTCGGTGTACAGACTTTCACGGTCGTTGTTCCCTGTGTTCTTACAGAAAACATGCATTCCCAGGAACTCATACCATCGCTACGCCTTGTCCTTTGTTAAATCTGGACGTTTAAGGTCAGCATCAAGTTTCAGAATATAACTCTGAATAGTATTATTCTCAACTTGTTCAGTTAAGATTGAACTCAGTCCTCGACTTCGCATGTCCTTGCTTAATAAGGACGTAACCAACCAACACATAGCTGGCCAGTCACGACAAGTGTCCAGCTCATGCTGGTGTCGCTGCAAGATCAAGTAACTTGTTTCTGTAGGGTCCAACGACAGCATTAAAGCAGAAATTCATTGCTGGGGAGCGATATCATTCGTCTCCAGCATGACCGTAAAGGCATTAAGCGTACGGGTTAGCGTGTCGAGGTCATGGTTGTTTATAAACTCGACCTGCTTACTGTTGGCATCCCAGTTCGACTTAAGTCGACTGATCTGTCCCTTGTACTTCTGATTATCCCTGTGGTCTTGCCCACGTTGGGCCTGAAGTAGCTGATCGATGCGCTTTTGTTTGATCGCGATCATATTAGCAAAATATGATACATCATCAGCATGGTGCGCATCATGTGCGATTTACATTTTAATGGCGTAGTCATCGACCGATTTATTAAGTTCGGTCACCTCGTCAGAGTGGAAATCCTCTGCGGGCTGGTGTAATATGCGCTTTTGTTTGATCGCGATCATTTTAGCAAAATATGATACATCATCAGTATGGTGCGCATCATGGGCGATTTCCATTTTAATGGTGTAATCGTCGACCGATTTATTAAGTTCGGTCACCTCGTCAGAGTGGAAATCCTCTGAGGTTTGATTGATCGCGATCATATTAGCAAAATATGATACATCATTAGCATGGTGCGCATCATGGGCGATTTCCATTTTAAAGGTGTAATCGTCGACCGATTTATTAAGTTCGGTCACCTCGTCAGAGTGGAAATCCTCTGCGGGCTGGTGTAATGCTGTGCGATCGAAGCGATTAAATTCGACTTCGTTAACACGTTTACGGGGGTG